TTTTTTTTTTTTTTTTCCTGAAACCAACATCTACGAGTTTTTGCTTAGGTAAATAATTGCCCTTGAGAAAGTCAGAGTATTTCTAATTTGGAATCAGATCCAGGCTACCTCTTTTTGCATGCTTCCCATGGTGGAGAGCTTACTATTTCTCAAGGTAACTCATCGCATTGTTAGATGACATCTATTTTTAGAGAGTTCTGCCTTACTTTGAGCTGAAAGCTGTACTCTTGGGCCGGCAATGGAGTGGAGTAGTTTAGGGTGCATATTCTTCAGTTAGATCTGTGGTCCTATTCCCCAGCCCAGCGAATACCTGGCAGTATCTGGAAACATTTTTAGTTGTCATAACTGGGGTTGGGGTGGCTGCTACCGGCATCCAGGGAGGAGAGGCTAGGGATGCCGCTAAACATCAGTCAGTGCACAGGACAACGCCTTACAGCAAAGAGTTACGCAGCCCAGAATGTCCGTAGTACCAAGGTTAAGAAACCGGCCGGGTGCGGTGCCTCACGCCTGTAATCCTAGCACTCTGGAAGGCTGAGGAGGGAGGATCGCTTGAGGTCAGGAGTTCGAGACCAGCCTGAGCAAGAGTGAGATGCCGTCTCTACCAAATATAGAAAAATTAGCTGGGCATGGTGACGTGCGCCTGGAATCCCAGCTACTCTGAAGGCTGAGGCAGGAGAATCACTTTAGCCTAGGACTCTGAGGTTGCTGTGAGCTAGGCTGATGCCACAACACTCTAGCCCAGGTGACAGAGCAAGACTCTGTCTCAAAAAAAAAAAAAAGAAAAAAGAAACCCTGAATTAGACCTAGGTTTGAATCTTGACTTCAGCAACCACTCCCTAGCTGTGTGAACTTGAGTAAGTTGCTTCACCCCTCTGAGCTTGAGCCGACCTTTTACTCTTCTCTGCCTTGGGGTTTATCAGGTCTCCCTCTTGGGCTTGTGGTGAGCATTCAGTAACCGACAACATATGAGCAACACCAGCCAGGGATGGCTCAGCTCCTTGCTGTCTCGGCTGCCCCTGCTGGCCTTCTGGGTGTGGATAGAAAACTGATAGCCATTGTTTATTTGCTGGCACGTGGACCTGCTTGGATGAGACTGTAATCACTCTAGTAAAAGGCCCCTCCTCACCTAATGGTTTTGGAATGGAGCCATCGCCTTAATTCAAAAATGATGGTTTGCTCGTACACTCTTAGAGGAGAAGGGCTCATTTCTGCATTTTACCAAGTCATCGCCACCTTGGGGTTTGCAGAGCTCTCCCTTTCCACTATCTCAACTGATCCTCCCCACAGCCCAGGGAGGGAGGTCTTGCCAGTCTCCCCGCTGTGCAGATGAGGAGTCTGGCACTCCGGGGTGTTTACTGAAGCCGCACACAGCCCAGCGCAGAGCTGGGGCGAGCACTCCGCTCCTCCTCCGGAGCTCTCCCCAGGCTGCTTCTCTGAGGACACTGTGCTCGGAAGGACCTGCAGGCAGCCAGCCGCCTTCCTTCTTGAAGTGCCCTTGTCCGAAGTCCCTCCTCTAACTTTTATCCTCTCTGCCCAGGGCGCACCCTGTCTCTAGCCGCATTTTTGCAGGCTGTTGCTCTAACCCCAGAGAGGGCACCTCAGATCCAGCCAGGGTCTACTGTGCGGCGCGAGGGGAAATGATGATCAGTGGGTCCAAGTATCTCCCACACCCTTTGCCCTTGCCAGGGTACCTGATCTGCCTTTGGAATTTATACAGGGAAAACCTTTCAGGGGCCTGTTTTTCAAATGCCGGCCCCTGAGGGAGGGAAAAGCATCTTACACTAGTTATTTCACTGACTAGAAGCTGTTCAGGGATTAGATGACCGGAGCTGGCTTTCTGGCGTGTGTCCCGTGCAGCCGCACAGGGCCTTGTGCTCAGAAGGGCCCCGTGCTTGGGTGAGTGCTCTGCTGTCACTGCTCTCTTGCAATTCTTAAGCATTTAAAATTTTTTCATTTTGCACTGGGCCCAGCAAATTGGGTAGCTGGGCTGGGCTGGGTGCTGTGGCATAGGCCTGTAGTCCCAGCTACTCGGGAGGCTGAGGCAGGAGGATCAGTTGAGCCCAGGAGTTTGAGGCTGTAGTGAGCTGTGAAAGTGACTGTAAAATAGCCACTGCAGCATAGCAAGAGCAGCATAGCCTGGGCAGCATAGCAAGACCCTGTGCCTAAAAAAAAAATTAGGTAGCCTGTCCTGAGTGGGACATAAAGTCGATGATGATTTCTACTGGCCATAGGAGGAAAATGTATTCATTTCCACGGGGCCCCTCTTGCTACCTTCCCGAGGGAGTGTGGCCAGCTTTTTCTAGGCTCAGTGCCTGGGTCACACTAGTCCTAAGGCTTCTCCTCCTTTCCCAGAACAGCTCCCCGTGTTCCTTTATGTAGTGTGGGTGCTACCGTTGCTTTTCCATGAATCTTTCTTCTGAGTCTTGCAGCTTCTGAGGATAAAAGTGGATTTTCTTGCCCCCAGAACAGGTCACTGAGCTGAAAAGGAAACTTTCACCACTAAATATTTATTGAGTTAATAAGTTCTAAGCTGAAATACTTCACAGCACCCTGCCTCTCACACATTTCTTCATCTAACAAACATCTGTTGATCTTTTGCTTTTATCTTTATGCAAAATAACACATCCAAGCTACAAAGGAGAAAAGGTGATAAGAAATTGAGCATTCTTTATATTGGTGAAGAAGGTAAACTTGTACATTAATTTTCCCCAACATTTCATTGTGAAAATTATCAATAAAATGGAAAAGTTGGAATCACTGTACCATATAGCCACCACCTAGATTGTACATCAACATTTTGCTTTTTTTGCCTTATCATCTATTCATTTATCCATACCCCTAGCCAACTCTCCATCCACCTGATTTTTTAATTCATTTCAAAGTAAATTGCAGACATTAGTAGATTTCACCCTTAAACACTTATGCTACATGAATTTAGTTCAGTGATGTCAATTCAATCAGAACTTTTCTTTTTTAAACAAAAAGGAAAGATATAGATTTTTAAATAAAAACAAATTATTTTCTGTCAAATATAATTGTTATATAAATAATATATACACAATTTTTAAAAATGATATATCTCCCCTTCTGTGTGCCAGGCAATGAGGAAAAGAGAGAAAAGAGATACCTCTGGGGGAGAGGGAGGTCAGAACTACCTTGAGAATGCCTACCCATGGGAGTGTTTTAGGGAACTGCTTCCTGCTTCCTCCTAACCAAAACAATAAGAAATAAAAATCCCAGAGTTGATACTTCTTAGTCTCTTTCTTCCTTCCAGAAGTGCCTGTGGACAATTCCACAGGGTTTGGACCTGGTTGGGGCTACAGGTGAAGCTGCAAGGTACCGGGTGCTGTAGGTTTGGGGTTGTCCTCACAGAGGTGATGGCTGAGGTGTAGGGGAGTGAGTGGATGAGGCGCCTGGGGCAGGTAGCATGGGGTGACAGGAGCACAATGCAGGACTTTGGGTCACAAGGTGAGAAAGTGATGCTGTGGAGGAAAGCAGAGGGGCATACTTAGAGAAGCCAGACTGGTCTTCAGAGCTGGAGGAGAACATGGAGTAACATCTTGAGAGAGGCTCTAAAGAGGAGACCTGGGAAAGTGTTTAGAGATCGTCTACCCCACCCTACACATTTGACACATGAGAAAACAGAGGCTGAGAGATCACTCAGAAAATAAGTAGCAGAGCTGGGGCAAAATCAGTGCTGCCCGAATGGTGCTTTTCGCATAAAGAAACTCAAAAGTTTACTTCCCCCTGGATCAAATGTCTTGGGGGCTTGATTTTTAGCTTAAAAATTATGTGAATTTAGCTTTCTATTCAAGAATTCATCTGGCTTTATCTTTATGTAAAACATTTGTTTTTGCTAAATTATCTCAAGAACGTTACACTCTCTATTAGTGTTTCTCAGTCTTCTTTAAACTCATACCACTTTTTGATGAATAAAAAAATCTAACAACCCCTTCGAGAAGTTTCAATACCTACTTCCACCTCCCACCCACTTGAGTGTCACCAAAAACAGAGGGTACAATGTGTTTTCAGTAGAGCATTACTAGCAAAGGTTTTGTTACATATTACATGGCATAGTTTATGTAATGAAAAACTATTGTTTGTTTTTCAAATAGAAAAGTGAAATATATGCTTTTTCAAATGACATAACCGCCCTCTCATTTGAGAACTACTCCTCTAAGAAGATGCTTGTAGGGATACCATGCTTTATGCACCTCTGGTACACCCTTGTTACCTGCCCCCCCCATATCAGTTAGGGATGCTTGTAGCTGCAAATAAAAACTCCCACAACAGTGAAATAAGGAAAAAAAACCCATTTAATTATTTCCCATAGTAACAAATCTGGAAGAAGAAGATTCCAGGGTTGGTTCAGCAACTTAGTGATAACAGGGCTCTTCATTGTCATCTTCTTGGCATTCCCTGATGGCCCCAGATGACTGCCATGGCCTCAAACATGACTTCCTCTCTTCCTGTCAGAAAGAAGGGGCCAAGCGAGAAACAATGCTTTTCCTTGTTTTGCTCATTCATCAGAGAAGAAAGTCATCAGAGAGGAAGAACTTTCCCAGAACCTGCTGTTAGACCTCCCCACCCAATCCCTTAGCCACAGAGGTGTCTCATGGCCATTGGCAGAGAGGGACCAGATTGAAATATTGACCAGACCAATCAGGGTGCAGCCTACCTTTCCAGAACACATGCAGATTCTTTATTTACCTTGGTTTTTGCCCAGCACCCTCACAAGAATGTAAGCTCCATGAGGGCAGAGATTTTTGTCTATTCTGTTCACTGCTACATCTCCAACAATTAGAATAGTGCCAGGAATTCAATAAATAGTCACTGAATGAATGAATGAATGAGGAAGAAGAGGACATGGCAGTTGAGTAGGTAACCAGTGGTGGCTATCACCCCCAACAGCATAGAACCCCAGTTTGATAAACATGATGCTGCTAAGCGGCTACTGATCACCAAATCTCTGACCTTAGTCCTTGTATCTTTTCTCCCAGGAAGTGAGCCATAACTGGAGGCTGCTCCCGAGCCAATGACCCTTCCCAATTCCTCTTGCGTCTTAGAAGACAACATGTGTGCGGGGAACAAGACCGCCGTGGCCAGGCCCCAACTGATGCCCCTGGTGGTGGTCCTGAGCACCGTCTCCTTGGTCACAGTGGGCCTCAACCTGCTGGTGCTGTATGCTGTACGGATTGAGCGGAAGCTACACACTGTGGGGAACCTGTACATCGTCAGCCTCTCGGTGGCAGACCTCATCGTGGGCGCCGTTGTCATGCCCATGAACATCCTCTACCTACTCAGGTCCAGGTGGTCCCTGGGCCGGCCGCTCTGCCTCTTTTGGCTTTCCATGGACTACGTGGCCAGCACAGCATCCATTTTCAGCGTCTTCATCTTATGCATTGATCGCTACCGCTCTGTCCAGCAGCCCCTCAGGTACCTGAAGTATCGTACCAAGACCCGAGCATCAGCCACCATCTTGGGGGCCTGGTTTCTCTCCTTTCTGTGGGTTATTCCCATTCTAGGCTGGCATCGCTTCATGTCGAAGATTGCGGAGCGCCGGGAGGACAAGTGCGAGACAGACTTCTACGATGTCACCTGGTTCAAGGTCATGACTGCCATCATCAACTTCTACCTGCCCACCGTGCTCATGCTCTGGTTCTATGTCAAGATCTACAAGGCTGTCCAGCGGCACTGTCAGCACCGGGAGCTCATCAATGGATCCCTCCCTTCCTTCTCAGAAATTAAGCTGAGGCCAGAGAATCCCAAGGTGGTTGCCAAGAAACCAGGGAAGGAATCTCCCTGGGAGGTTCTGAAAAGGAAGCCGAAAGATGCTGGTGGTGGACCTGTCTTGAAGCCACCGTCCCAAGACCCCAAAGAGATAAAATCTCCAGTTGCCTTCAACCAGGAGGAGGATGGAAAAGTGGCCAAACTCCATTGCTTCCCACTTGACATCACGCAGATGCAGACTGTGACAGAGGGGAGTGGCAAGGACTACGTGGCTGTCAACCAGAGCCAGAGCCAGCTCAAGATGGATGACCAGGGCCTGAACATGCATAGGGCCAGCGAGATATCAGAGGACCAGGTGTTAGCCGATAGCCAGTCCTTCTCCCGGACAGACTCAGACACCCCCCCAGAGGCAGTACCCAGCAAAGGCAAATCGAAAAGTGGTTCTAACGTAGGCCTGGATTACATCAAGTTCACTTGGAAGAGGCTCCGCTCACATTCGAGACAGTGTGTGTCTGGGTTGCACATAAACCGAGAACGGAAGGCTGCCAAACAATTGGGTTTTATCATGGCAGCCTTCATCCTTTGCTGGATTCCTTACTTCATCTTCTTCATGGTCATTGCCTTCTGTGAGGGCTGCTGCAATGAGCATGTGCACATGTTCACCATCTGGCTGGGCTATATCAACTCCACACTGAACCCTCTCATCTATCCCTTGTGCAATGAGAACTTCAAGAAGACGTTCAAGAAAATTCTGCACATTCGCTCCTAAGGGAGGCTCTAAGGGGGTGCAACAAAGTGATGCTTATGATGTCCAACAAGCAAACGGAGGCTGAAGTCCTGTGTGTTTGCAGGCACCTGGGCTTTCTGGAGTCAAAACCACAGTCTTAGGGGCTGGGTAGTTTGCAAAGTTCTTTGACACCACTGGAAGAACAGTAGATGGTGGTGGTCAGCAGAGAGATTGAACTTTGAATAAAAAGTAGAATCTTTGCAAGAGACTCAGACTTGGGTGGAGCTCTCCTTCCCCTCAGGAACTGTGAGAGCCTAAGACTCTCATTGTAATTTAAGCTTTCAGACTCCAATTAAGGCAACAGAAGGGACATGTGGGTAGACTTCCACTGGAGAATTAAACAGAACTCTCAAGCCTTCCTGAAATGGAGCTATGTGACTGTTTGGAGACCTTACACATGCAGATAGTTTCTGTCCTCTTCCAGGGGTCACCTTGAGAGGCATGACTGCTGTTCCACTGTGGCTGCCCCCTCTCAGAACATCTCTCTTCTAAGCCTCTTTGACAGCTTTCTCCAGAACCAATGTCTGAACCACCCTGGAAATTCTGCCTTATTATTTCTCACTCACGCATGTCTTAGAGTTGATAGAAAGTTACACAGCTTGCACATTTTTAACCTCACATTTCCTTTGGCTATTTAAAATACAGTGGCAAAAGGTGTTCTCAAAAGAAAGAGAAAAGAAATATTTTTTAAAGCTTGTGTGTTAAAAACTAAAAGAGGGCCGGGCGTGGTGGCTCACGCCTGTGATCCTAGCAGTTTGGGAGGACGAGGCAGGACGATCACTTGAGTCCAGGAGGTGGGGCTGCAGTGAGCCATGATCGTGCCGCTGTACCCCAGCCTGAGAGAGAGAGCGAGATCCTGTCTCAAAAAACAAAAACAACAAAAACAGGAAAGACAGAAAAACTAAAAGAAGGAATAGGGAGAAGAATGCCATATTTTTTAAGGGCTATACTAGCTTTATCCCATTTAAGCCCCACAACACCCCACAACAGGAGGGTGCTGTTGCTTGCTCTAGTTTGCAGAGGAGCACACTGAGGTGCAGCAAGGTGAAAGAGGTGCCCAAGGTCACGTAGCTAGTTATGTGAGAAAGTCAGACAGAAAACCCTATGGAGTTCCAGCTCATTGCAGCACATTTTCTCCAAATGTGCTAAAAGGTACCCTGTTAAGTGTGCATATAAATGTGTGAGACACACACATATGTAATATTCCCAAGAGTGGTGACAATTCTCAATATTACTATGTTGAGTGGGGGAACAGCTGACGTGGGATACCTCTGCATGGACAGAGGTAATGCTTTCAAGGGACAGTGTGTATTTTTATTTGTGAGTTTGGTTGTGTTTGTCAAAAAGTCATCATGTTCTTTTATGGTCACACCTGTTAAGTAAAAACTAGCGAAGGCACGGGAACATACAGTTTTACTTGGGTGTTTATATTGGAGTCTGGTTTTGATTGATATTTTAAAACTTGACACTAAACCATGATATGTGTAGCAAGTAGGAGTGCCTGTACACGCTGGTATTTTGTGTCTTGTGTTCTTTTTTGCATGATCTGCTAAAATGAGATCTTTTTACCTACCTAAAACATGATATTTGAAACCATACTGTTATGTGATTTATTTATTTCTACCTGTCTGAGTCTCTTGGATTGAGAAGATGTATTCAAATGGACTATCAAATGTTACAAAATTTGATATAGGGTTTCTCTTTGGGTTCTGGTCACATTTGTAAATGTCTTTTTAAAGGGACTTACTTTTTATAAAAAGCATCATTCTCATTCTGCTTTGCATTCCCAAAAGTTCTTCTTGCTCAAAACTAGAAGACTTTTATCCTGGTTTCAGAAGCTGCAGCTGGTCTGTTTCCAGGTCAGAAACCATTGTCCAGACCTCCTCAAGAGGCCTGTGAGAGAGTTGCTCCCCAGAGTCTCTCCGGACCAAAGAACACTTAAAAAGACCACTCCACGCAGACACATGGCCAAGTGCCCGTTCTTTATCCTGATGGACAGTTGAGGCAATTAGTGGAGAGAAGCGATTCTGAGCTCTGACTCTGGGTCAAAGAGACCTGGATTTGAGTCTGATAAGAACATGAAATGGCCAACAAATACAAATTGTCAGAGTCTAAGGAACAAGGTCCACGCATTATTGTGTACAGTGTCTGTGGTGCTTGCATAGTGTCTGCTACACAGAGGCCACTCATATGCATTTTTTTAATAAATAAAAGTTTTATTGGAGAAAAACAGAACTACCACGTACACAGGGAAAAGAGCACAAAAATCCAACTGATACAGAAAAACAACTGAAAGTCACAATTGTCCAACGTAGTTTGTAATTACTTCTCAATTTCTTAAACAGCTCCGCTCAACTTGTTTTTTAATAGCCTTGCTAGTTTTTCAGTTGAAACAGCACCAAGTTTTCAAAAAATTAAGAGCCTCAAGAAGGGGACCCACTTTTTAAAAACATGCTGAGCATATACATATGCCAGGCTTTGTGCTTTGCCTCCGTCATCTATGTTGTTATCTACGTTGTAACCTTTACAACAACCTCAGGAGGGAGATTTCCTTGTTTTTACAAATAGGAAAATTGAAGCAAAGAGAGGTTAAGGAACTGCTCCAGATTCTGATTCTAGAATGTGCTTCCTTTCCACTATATCAAGCTGCTCTTCCTCCTCCTGTCTGAATGATTGATATTAATTTTTGAATTTATAAAAGGCAATGGACTATGGTGCAGAGATGAGTCAGTCCCAGCCCATTAGGAAAGTATCAGTGGCAGATGGCTTGCACAAAATCCAGATGAAGCCAGGCTTTCTGCCCTAAATACTAAAATAAATACCTCCTAGGAGAAGGCTCCATAACGACCTTGACTGTACATAAGAATCTTGCAGACTCAGAAGCTCCCTCAGGAGTCTTTTCATGGGTTTAAGGCTGATTAGCTTCCAGTCAATTCTTCAAATGACCAATTTGCCAAATTTTCCAATTTACTAATCCTTGGCTTCTTTGTAACTATTTACAAGCTTTACAACAATTTATATTGGATGAGGTTTTTAAGAACTGTATCCTACAGTTGTTGTGAAGTTATAGTAACTGATTTCCTTTTTCTTCATAGCAGCATCTTGAGGAATGTTCAATAGGTCTTAGCCTCCAGCTCTCTGCTACTGCAGGGAGAGGCAGGAGTTGGGGGTTGGGGAGGGCACTGAAGACACAGAGAGAGGAGAAATAGAGGTGAAGAGATGGAGGGTGGCAGAGGGGAAGAACAGGGGACAGAAATATTCGGAGAATAGGGAAAGAGAGAGGAGACAGAGTCCCAGAGAAGAGGACTAAGGGAAAGAGGTGGGGGCAGTGACAGGGAGAGGGAGGAGAAGGATGTGCAGAAGAGGAGGATGCTGAAGGGCTGAGATTGGGAGAGATTAAGGGACAGAGAGATGGAGACATTGGGGGGGACACAGGGAGAAACTGAGGCAAAGGGAGACAGAAGAGAAGCAGAGAATGGGGGACAGAGAGAATAAACTGAGTGGCATATATTAATATGTTCAAGAAAAAATCTACATTTAGGAACATATTCTTCATTAATGTATTCCTAAATTAAAAACATTCGAAGGCAGAATAAACCATCCTTAGCTTTTGATAAATAGAAAATTCCTTAAAATGCTTCTCTGAAGACAAAATGGAAACCAGTCAACTACAGCATCACATAAATCTTTAAAAGCATGTGAAGCCATTCCATTCAATACAAATTGCTGTAAACTTTATATGTCAGTAATGTTAGCAAAGTGTTCATTCTGAAAATCTATGAGTCTGCAAATTGGCCATTTGATGAATTGGTCACTTGGCTTGCAGAAAATTGTTGGTTTCTCTTTGGAAGAAGGGCACTGCGTGGACTTCCAGGAGGTATTAGTCTTAACTCAGGGTGAAAAAGATGCAGGGGCTCTTGTGGCTGTTAGACACTCTAAGTGCTGTAAAGAAACAATGCTGTTAAGATCTAATTTGCTGATATCTGTCATTCCACAATTTCTTGGGCTTTCTAAGCAAAGGTTGGCGTGGCATATGGCTCTCTTTGTTGGGAGCATGTACTCTCTTTAACTGAACTGCAAGGCAAGTGATGAAGGTGGATTGGCCTGAATCACTGTGGCCCTGAATAAGTGTCACAGGGCCTCAGGCCTCATTGCCCTGCTATGTCTGAGAATGTTCTCTGTCTTTCTATAGCTCCTGCCCCTGCATCTTTCGTAATGCTTCATGGTCTTGGAGCCCCAGTGGTCTGCCTGCACCATCCAAGGCAGCAGATGGTTTTCTGCTGTGAGCTTCACCCTAACTCCCTGCTAACAAGGAAGCCTCATTTGTGGCTGAGCAACCATCAGCTCTGGTCTCCACATCTATTTTGGATGCCCAAATCTCATCTGTTAATTTAATGAATACTTTTTAAGCACTTCTTTAGCCATTAGGAGACAAGGCCTGGCCCAAGACAGCCAGACATGATTTCAACCCTGTGGAGTTACTTCAGGTTTACAGGTGATGGGAACTAACTTTGTGAATGGTTACTAGGGAGTCTTTGTCTTCTTTGTGCTACTATAACAGAATACCACAGCCTGGATAATTTATAATGAGCAAAAATGTATTGGCTCAGAGTTCTGGAGGCTGGGAAGTCTAATATCAAGGTGCTGGCATATGCATCACAACATGGCAGAAGGTATCACATGGAGGAGAAGCAAAGACAGGTTGAGAGAGAGCAAGAGGGAGTGAACCCACCGGTGATACAGAACCCATTCCTGATAACAACATTAGCTCATTCATGAGGGTGGAGTCCCCATGACCTAAACACTTCTTAAAGATCCCACCTCCCAATGGCAATTAAATTTCAACATGAGTTTTGGATGGGGCAAACATTTAAACTACAGTGTGGGGTGCTTTACGGAATCTACTGATTCTTTGAATTACCTTGCTTTGGGAAGGGCTTGAGCCAAGTAAGCCACAGGAACCTTAACAATAAGAATTTAAGGAAATTCCCTCTAGAATATTGTCATTGACCTATGTAAATATTCCTGTTTCTACTCTCTATCAACATTAGTTCATTTTTCTTTCTTTT